TCTCTGTCTCTCTCTCTCTCTCTCTCTCTCTCTCTCTCTCTCTCTCTCTCTCTCTCCCCAGATGAAATATTCTTGAGAGCAGAGGTTTCTCTTTTCCTCCTCTACTAATCCTGGAGCAGTGCCTGGCACGGAATAGGCAGTATATATTGGATGACTAATACTCAAGGTTATACGTTATACTGTAGTTTCATGTAGAGAAATATTTTTTGCACAAACCTGTGAGTTGCTTAAGGGGAGGGGAGGGTGGGCTTTTCTGTGACATGCCGTCCACACTCAGAGTGTCTATCAGTTTCTTTTTTTGCTTTTTAAAGACTATATATATATATATATATATATATACCAGGGATGGAACTCAGGACCTTGCGCTTGGGAGGCAGGTGCAGTGCCACTGAGCTAAATCCCCAGCCTGCCTATCTATCTATCTATCTATCTATCTATCAGTTTCTTACACAATAGGCAATTGGTAAGTGGTCTGTCTAAGTGAATGATGGAAAGACTCTCGACCTCAGGTCAGGAAACAAGGTCATCCCACAGAGCCTTGCTAATTGTTTTAAAGGTAGAGATCAGACACCACTAATGGCAGCTCCATGTCCACACCTGTCCTCTTGTCTTCCCAGTACAAAGTACACTGCAGAGTTAACAGCTGCGGGGACAAACTTCAATCCACAGGTACAAGAGTTAGTAGACAAAATGCTCCAGCCTCCCCAGCCTCTGGTCAATGAGGGCATACATAGTGAGATGGTACCATGGTGTGTAAGTCTGAGCTGAAGGGTACAGCACTTAAACCTTTAAGGGGTTATCACGAACAGGGCTTTAGTTTGAAAGTCCCACTTATATAATTGATTTTCAGCCTCCAGCAGTGCCTGGAATCTAGTAGGTGCTTCGTGGGATGCTCAGAAAATGAACAAACAGTGCCTTCCACGGTGGAAGCCAGCTGCAGATCCTGCTTCAAGGTGGGGAGTTGAAGATGATGTTGTAACTGCTGAATTTGCCTGAGCTCTGGAAGTAGCAGGTTGTTGGGGCCCCAGTGACCTACAGATCCTCTGAGAGTGTGAACTTAGAAACCATCCATCACAACACTGGAGCCAGAACCAGATTTCCAACTCTGAGGGTCTGGTCTTATTTCCCCAGTAGCCCCTGAAAACATTCCAAAGAGGTAATTTTGGAGACTGACAGGCATGAATATTTTCAGATTCAATTTCAACAAAGTGTTGCTGTTTAAGAAGGCCTGCCAAAAAGATAATGGAGATACTGAAGTGCTCAGTAAACTGTAAAGTGCTATCCAAAGGTTGGCTGAGATTCACTGCCAAGGTCAACAAATCCAGGATTGGATGGGGTGCCAGATTTCAAAACTGGAGCCACAGAAAGGCTGATCATTCAAGGGCCCCTTCTGAAGGGGTCATCAGAGGACTTGCCAGGCTCAAAGGGATACAGTTGCCCGTGAACCACCCTAACCTCACCACCCATTTCGGCACGGCACACATGCTGAATAGAATCAATGCTTACATTAGGTATTTGTAACCCACTGGTGATTTTTCCCAGTTTGCCTGCATTTTAGGGGTCACACACTGTGCTCCTGCCACCTGCACTGCTGGGCATCGGACTGTCTCTCCAAGGTCCCAACTGTCTGGGTACATGAGTGTTTTTCTCCCACATTAGTTTACATTTGTCCCAGCTGCATTAGGATTTATTCTGCACATACCCTGGCTTTCCAAACTGCATTCTTCTGCCCTCACACTACCTCTTTGTCATCCAGCAATTGAATAAGCATTGTTCCTCGGCTTGGCTCGTGAAAGGGGACCCTGGTGAAGAATAAACTTCACATTTCTAGCTTCTTTATCCTAGCACCCAACAGTAGAAGGGCGGCAGTGTTTGGTGACCTCCCGCATTAGGTTAGCGATCTGGGGCTGGGCCTAGGCTGGATAATGAGCCCGTGAACAATGGGGACGCTGAGAGCAGAGCCCCTTTGTCCTGTGCCCCCCTGCACCTTTTCCCTAAGCATCTTTCCTTAATCTGTCAGAGCTAATGGGGTTTGTGCGGCAGACATTCATTCCCCATAAGCTCCGATTCAAGCTGCTGTGCGATTCAGTCTTGGATGTTCCTACACTTAAAGGCTTGTAAAACAGTGCAAGATAGTAGATAAACTGACAGAAAGCCTCTGTCCTCGGCTTGAAAAAAGGCTGTTTTATTTCTCTACAGGAACAGGCGTCTTGAAAAGCCCAAATTCAGGATGCAGAAAGTGAAAAGAACACTGAACGTTGCAAATGCTGGACACCACCCCAGCAACTTTTTTCCATCTACATCTCTCCCAGATGAGTCATGAACTAGAGGCAGGCTCAGGAGACACCTGCTGTCCCATGGCTAGAAAAGGCACAAGCTGTTTCGTTTTTTAATTTTTATTTCTGGTTCCGGGGATCGAACTCAGGTCCTTGCTCTTGCGAGGCAGACAGAGGCACCACTGAGCTAAATCCCCGGCCCTTGTTGTTTTTAAATGGACCAACCATTAGTAAAACTTGTACTTGTCAAAAGCAACACTCATCAGAAAATTAGGGAACAGTCTTCTAAGGTTCTTCTGGCTTTCAAAGTATCCACCCAAGGGGCGGAGCTAAATTCTGGGATTCGAAACTCTGTCTAGTTCATCTTTTCCCACAATCTAAAGTCCAAACGTGAACTATGCGAAGAAGAGTTGGGGGCTGGGGGCAGTCACAGGGTGCCCTCAGCTCACCTTTGGCTGGAGAAGCCCCAACCTCCTACCTCCTACCCTTTTGAATCCACTTTTAGCCAGAGTTTAGGAGTTGCTGTGTATTTCTCTTTCCAGATAACAGTTTCCTCAACTACTTTCAACCCCACCATGTGCTGGTAAGACCGGCCGAGGTGGGAGGGCAAGGACAGGGGTAGGGATTGGAGAGGAAGCCAGGCGGCTTTTCCTTGCTTGCAAATTAGATCACCGAAGGCAAGAAAGAGGCTAGTTTCAGGCGCCCGGTAAACGAAAAGCAAACTTCTTTATTGTACACAGTACAGAATATAACGCAGCTTGGCAGGATGCACACAGCCCTGCGCAGGGGAAAGTATTTAAAATCAACCGGCAGGTGAAAGCCTTTCTGCACTGTAGATTTTCCACACTCTGGAAAAGAAGCAAATGAACCAACCCCCCAAAACTCTGAAAGAAACAAAAACCATCCGGGAGGTGCGTGAGTCCACGGGAAATGCAACGGTGATGCCTTCCGTGCTACGTCCCACGAGCACAGGCCTCGCTCGTAGTTACAGCAGGGGAGGGGGCAGCTCAGGCTACAGAAGATTATTTTCCTACTTGCTAAACTAGCATAAATTCATAAAAAAAACCCCAAAACCCAAACCAGTATAAGAAAGGAAAAAAAAAAACAACAAATCTATACAGCATTTACAACAAATAAATCTCTAGCCAGCTGGGGGTAAAATATGCATCTATGTATAGACTATGTGTAGATTAGAAAGCTATAAATATGGTTTAGAAAGAGTCCTTTGATTAGAGTACAATGCTAATTAAGACCCAAGCAACAGGTTCGACACTTTCGTAGGCTAAATCAGCTTCCAGTAGAGGGAAATCTGATGTTTTCATAGCTGTAAAACAAAGCCCTTGTCCCTGTGAACTTCTTCACCAATGTGCTGTTGGTTGTAAGGAGGACCATGGAGCACTTCTATTACAGAACAGCATTTCAAAGGATGTGTCTCACACTTGTGGAGTTAGCACTGTCTCCTTGCACACACAAGGACAGCAGTCAGGGCACACAGAGCCCTCAACAGAGCAGGCAGCAAGGTACTACCGCTTTCTAGTGACTTCTCCTCTACTTTGAGCTCAACTTGCACAAAACTTTAGCTTGGTTGTTTTAAACTTCACCAATATAATACAGCACTCAGAAGAAAAAACAAAAAAGTGGCAGGAAACCAGAATGCTAGCATTGTCTTACCTGTCAGTGTCATGTGTAAAGTCTCAATAAACCCTACTGAATTGTTACGCAGGGTTCAAAGTCCAAGATTTAAAGAAAAAAAGAGAACAAAACAAACTAATGAAATGGCAGTTGCCATCAGTCATGCCCTAGGAAACAGCCCTGGGGTCCCACCAGTGGCTGGCTTCCAAGTAGACAGGACGTGTAGTATGTACATCTGCTGCCCAGTGGGCACATTAGTGAACATGGTGCGCTATACACATGGAATCTAAGCTCGTGTCCAGGCTGCCCCACACACTTCAGAAATGTACAACTTGGGTGCAAATGTTCTGTTGGGTTGTCTGGTGCAGAGGGCACGGACAGGCAACGAAGCGGGCTTTCACATGGCTGAGGGGGCCCCAGCAAAGCCCCTCTCAAGCTGCGGCATCATAGGAAATCAGCGTGGCCCTGCCTAAGGGACACAGTGCACAGTTACCGAAAGGTTTGTTTTTGTTTTTTGCTTTAAATACCAAAATTACAAAATCAGTTTTATAAACTGTTTTTCCAAAACAATGGCCAAGACAAAACAATCCCCCCCCCGAATCAAAGCAAAACAAAATACTGTCAAGTGTTAATCGCCCTTCTCCTCAAATGAAAGCCATCCACCTTCAGCCATGTGACCAGGAAGAGAGGGGGCTGGCTCTACTTGGTGACCACGTGGCCGGAAGGTTCCCAGGAGTAGTGATGGTTTGTGATTGGAGAACCATGGAGTGGGTAACAGCTGTCCCCCTATTCTGGACCAAGGGGAAGCGTCCAGAGTGAGCTAGAAGAACTCTGCAAATTTCAAGATGTATTTTTCAGCTTTAACGATTTGGGCCTCCCCAGTGAAGCCTGTCCTCTGCTATGGGCTTGTGACTTCTTTGTTCAATAAACTATGCAAATCGGAGCCCTTCTGTGCAAAGACATTTAGTTGTCCATGATCAATGCAGATTGTCACACAATCGGTCTGTTTTGCAGGTATGAACCTGAACAAGGTATTGCTTTGCATGTATCGCCCATGGTGGTTAAGGAGGGTCCATTCCCACCTCTTCCCAGAAACCCTTTCAGAATCACCGCCTTTGGGTGAACTTTTCACCCCTCCCTGTTCCCACTCCCAGCCAAGGTGTCTGTGTGTAAGGGTGTCAATCCAGAGCCGGCTAGGTTCTCAGATAATACTCAAAGGGCAAGCTTTAGGAACAGCCAAGAACACAAACAAAACCACTGCCCTCATTTGCTGAATGGGAACTGCTAGCTCTAGGGTTTGGCCGCTCAGCCACTCAGAAACTTAGTAAGCAAAGCCTTCAGCGTAGGGGAGGCTGCTGCAGCGATCCACATCCAGGAGGTAAGCAGGGCTGTCGTCAAAGTGGGTCAGGGGCAGGGTGTCCTCCTCACTGAGGGGGCAGTCGGATTCTGCCTTCAGGAATGGGCGCTGATTGTCCGGGAAGGCCATGGAGAAAAGGGCATCGGGGTCGCAGACAAATTTGTAAACGTATCGCTCCCCAGCCACCTGTAAGAGAAAGCACCTGTTACAAGGCCTGGCTGGAACAGGGCAGATGAAGGAAGAAAATGAGGTATTTTTAAGTTACCGACCTCTCAGGGAGCCCAAAACCACAGGAGCTCCTTAGTAGCTCATTACCCAAATCATTCGTATTTGAGAAATCTTAGGGACCTCTTACCTGGCAAGAATTTTGTTGACACCACAGCTCAGCAGTTGAAAAAGACAGTATTTGAATTTCAAAATTCATACCAGATAGGCTCTATCAGAAGAAAACCTTCACTCTGTCTTACACTGACAGCTTAGGAAGCTTAGTTCTGCTGAGGCTGGGCCCTACGGTTCCAAGGTCTGAGGACTGAATGGGCTAAAGGCAGAAGCCTGACCACATTTTGAATTACCTCCAAGGTTTACAGTGTTCTCGGGGTGGATTTGTTACTTTGAAGGGCTAGGAATTTGATTAAGGAGCTTGTGTAGAAATTTTAAGTATGTTCCAAAGCCAAGGAGAAATGCTTCTGGATCTACCTGCAGTTTTCAATTATACATTGCATGGTCCTGCCACACTGAAGGAACCAGTAACTGCCTTTATGTGGATGTAATGCATTGTGTATTATTAGGACCAGGGGTCTTGATTATTCAAGGGCCTCATCATGCAGGGGAGCAGCCACCTAGGTCAATGGGCTCGCCCACTCTCTGCTGTTGTTTAGCAACATGGCAGAAGGGCGCAGGACCCTGAAAATCAAACCTGATTAGCAGCTTCTGTCAGATAACGTAGAGGGACAAGGAAAGGCAGCAGCAATTTTGGTAAGTAAACATTTTAAACTAAAAACTTTGATTGCGCTTAACCTTGCGCTCCATCATTTTGCTGTGATTCTAAAATCTGTTTAAATTCAGAATGTATAGCTTCACTTCCAAATCTTGGTTTTAAGAAGTCTGTTGCTACAGTGCTGGTATGATTGTCCCAACAGGTTTAGGGTGACAGCGCTATGTCCAGTCACCAGAACATGGAGTCTGCACTGACATTCCTTGGAACTTCAACACCAGGAATCAGGACTGTGTGTACCAAATGACTAGCAGCTTCACCAAATCAAGTCTTAAGGGAGTAGATATATTTGATCAATGATCCCTATTTCATTTTCCAACCCAATTTTCCCTTAAATTCCAATCCCCAAGTCAGTTTGTGTGGAAGAATGAGGCAGGAGGAGATAGTGATAATAATACTAGACCACGGGCCGGGGATTGAGCTCAGTGGTTTCCCCGCCTGCTGCGCAAGCACAAAGACCCGAGTTTGATCCCTGGTACCAAAAAAAAAAAAAACCCCAAACACCAGACCAGAAGCCAAAAGCAACATGGCTTCCAGTCCCGGTTTACTAATGAGTCTTAAATAAGAACCAAGATGCATTATGTAAAGGTACAATTCCCAATGAGAAATGTAATTGTGTTGTATACCTACAATGTACCAATAAAAGAATTTAA